CTGCGCGCCCGCGCCGCGGCCGCCGCTGCCGCCGGCCCGCTGGTTGGGGGCCGGCCCGCCGGCGGCGCCCCTGGCCGGCGCGATGGCCGCCGCTGTCGTGAGGAACAAGGCTGCGTCCTCCAGGCTCCACCCCTCCAGGGCCCCCGGGGGCGTGGTCGCCAGGAACGCCACCACCTGCACCGGCGGCGGCCGCATGCCCAGCAGGCACGCCGCCCCCGCTGCCCTCGCCAGCACGGGCGACGGGTCGCCCCCCGGCGGCGCCTGCCCCGCGGCGCGCGCCGAAAGGGACAGCAGCGCCGGCGCGGCCGCCAGCGGAGGAGCCGCCGGCCGCGACGCAGCGGCCGTGCCGCCGCCGCCGCCGCCGCCTGTGCCTGTCGGCGCCGGCCCCAGCAGAGCCGCAAACGCCACGAGCGCGGCAGCCGCCTGGTCGGGCGTCAGCGGCGGCGCGCCGCCAGGCGCGCTGCGCTGCAGTGCCTGCGCCAGCTGGCTGGCAATGCTGGAGGCAAAGTCGACCGCAGGCCGCAGCGCAGCAGGGTGCATCGGCCTGTCGCGCGCGGCGCGGGCCACGGCGTGCGCAGCCGCCGCGAGCTGTGCCGGCGACAGTGCCTGGCGGGGCGCGGCGGGGCCGCTGCTGACGGGGCTGGCGCCGCTGTCCTGCTGCTGCTGCTGCTGCTGCTGCTGCTGGTTCAGGGCAGGGCCATACAGGTGGGACTCATAAGCCTGGATGATGGCAGGGACACTTGTGCCAGCGGCAGCCAGCGACGCGATGAAAGGGTCCGTACCATCAAACGCCGCCCATGCCCGGCTGCCGCCCGCAAACGGCGCCGCCGCGCCGCGCGCAGCTGCTTCGGGGACGCGCGCCTCCTCATCCGAAGCCTCCGCAGCTGCGGCCACGGCTGACGCCCCAACGTCGTCCCCGGAGGGCTCGGACCCTTCCTGTTGGCCCGGCTCCTCTAGAACCACGTCCCTCACTTCATCGACCACAGCACCAGGCGCACCCCTTGGCCCCGCGTCCGCCGGGCTCACGGCGGCATCCCCATGCCCGCCATCGATGTCGTCGCTGCTCCCGCGGCTGTCGCCACCGCCTCTGGTGTCTGCCCCGCCGGGGGCCGAGGCGGTCGGCTCGATCTCGGTCTCAAGAGGCGCCGCCTGATGGCCCTCCGGCTCCTCATCCAAAGCGCCCTGGTCTCCATTCAACTCCGCCGCGTCCGGCGCTGACTGCAGCTCTGAATGGTGCGCCGCTTGTGAAACCTCTGCTACAAGATCAGCCGGCGGCTCCGCCGGCGCGACAGGCAGTGGCTCAAGCGCGGGCGTGGGGGCCGGCGCCGGCGTGCAGGCGGACTGACTCGCAGATTGCTGTGCTGCGGCCATCTGCGCCATCTGCTGGGTAAGCGAGGCCACCTGCTGGGTGAGCTGCATGTTCTGCTGCTGGTTGATGGCGAGCAGCTGAGTCAGCTGCAGTACCTGCTGCTGCAGCAGCTGCAGTTGCGCCATGGCTAAATCTTGCTGGGTCGACGGCAGGGCGGCCGCGCCTGCCGACGACGGCTGGGGCGCCTGGGGCTGCGAGGCCGGAGGCGCGCCGTTGCTGGCATCGCCGGCATAGCGCGGGGCCGGCACAGCATGCTGGCGGCGGTGTGGCGTGGCCAAAGACGGCACCGGCACGGCCTGGTGGCGTGGTACCTACAGTATGTTATGAGCAAGTTGAATATACAAATGATATTGCGGACCAGCATAGCGCACAGTCCAAAGGCCGCCCCCGACTCACCAGGATCCGCCGTCTACAATCCAGCGGTGATTGTCGATGCATGAGGCGCATTTCTGATACGATTAAAGTTACTGTCGCGCTGGATCACAGCCACAAGATCATGGGTCCTGCGTGATCGCAGCGCTCTGCACGAGGAGTGATGAGAGGGGGCGCGTTGAAGTGCAAAAAGAAATAGAAAGCATGTATGCCCCATGCATGCCTGTACGCGGGTACACACAGACTCCAAGATATTTCAGTGCAGTCACAGTGTCACTGGCGGCCTGCGCCATATCAGCAGAGTCAAATGTACCGTTCTTCCCCTCCATCGCACGGCCCCCTCTGACAATGTTGCATGCGAACCATTCATTCCCAGGTCTTTGAGTTGTACCCCGCTCACTTTGAGCACTCTTCTGCTTGCCGCACTCTTGACACTTCAACCTGTGAGCTGGTGACGGCTGACTACGACTCCGAGCTTGGGGATACTTCATTTCTACAAGGCGTCCTTTCACTTTACAAGCTTGTAATCAATTATTCAGACTCCCCTGCACTTGCACTCCCTTGCGCCATGCTACAGCCGGCGCTCGGCACATCTGGGCGTGCAGGTGTGTGCCAATAAATCGGCATGCAGGCCCCAGGCCTCGTGCTCATGGGCCGCCGAACAGCGACAAGGTGCAAGCGGTGCAGGATCAATGCCATTGAAACTTCCCTCACTACAGACAAAAATGACTCCACAAATAACTGGAAAACAGAAACATGCAAACACAACGGCGACGCACGCCTGCAAAGATGCAGGTCAACAGATGGGTTAGATGACACACACGATCGCCGCTGCACGTACAGGAACATTCCATGTCAAGGCAAGATGCATTGATTGCGTCCTGCGGGGAAGGGACTGCTAGTGGTGAAAAAACACCATTGCACGCGCGCGACGCTTAGGCCAGGCGTGGACGCGGGAAACGCGGCACAAGCACGCGGGCGCCTTCGCTCCTACCACAGCAGAAGGGTGGCACGTGCGCACGCTTGCAGGAGTGGCACAGCCCTGGCGGCCATCATCTCCCGAAGCCCATTCAGGCAAAAAAAGTCAAGTCATGGGGCGCTCCATTACGCCTGCGAGCCCTGTTGAATGCTCTGTGTTTCGCCGCCCGTCCAGGGTTGCTTCAGTCGTACACGGGTGCGTACATGTAGGACATGACCTTGTCCTGCTTGTGCACAGCCACCCCGCTGAGCCGGAACTTGTGGTTCTTGGTGGAGGTCTCCTCCAGGATGGTCAGCCGCACCTTGCACCTGGTGAGGGGCAGGCGCGGGGGGCAGGC